TGGGCTCAAGCGATACCCCCGCCTCAGCCTCTCGAGTGGCTGGGAGCACAAGTGTGCGCCACCATACTAATTCTTTCCATCTTTGGTAGAGACGAGATCTCACCGTGTTGCCCAGGCTGGTCTCAACTTCCTAGGCTCAAATGATCCTCCTGCCTCAGCCTCTCAAAGCCTTGGGTTTACAGGCGTGAGCCACCACACCAGGCCTAAACCACACCAGGCCCAAACCGTAATATACAAGATTGCAAGCTGGGAGCGGTGACTCATGTCTGAAACTTCATCTCTGCCAAAAAAAATTAAAATTAGCCAATTAGCTAGGTGTGCTGGTGCACACCTGCTGTCCCAGCTACTTGGGAGGCTGAGGCAGGAGGATCACCTGAGCCCAGGAGTTTGAGGCCGCAGTGAGTTACAGTCGTGCCCTTGCACTCCAGCCTAGGCGATGGAGGGAGACACCAACTCTAAAAATAAAACAGCTGCCTCCCACGCCTGTGATTCCCCAAACCTTATATTCATTCACATCGCTGAGGAAACTTAAAAATCCGGATTCTGACCCTCCCCTACCCTCCGACTCCGAGTCGGCCACTGAGTGGGACCCAGGAATCTGCATTTCTGGCAGACACCCCAGGAGGTGGACCTTCGGCTTCCGTGAAATCCGAGTAAAAGCCACACATCTAGACTCACTCTCTCATTTTATACAGGGTAAGCTGAGGCTCAAAGAGGGGCTGAAAGTCTGGTCCAAGGTCTCCAGACTCCAAAGGTGTGACTCTGGCACACAGGGCTCCCCGCCTCAGTTCTTCCTGAGGGTCCCTGATTCTGGAAGCTTCTGGTTGGGCCCCAGGCCAAGAGCAGGATACAGAAGGATCTGAGAGGTCAGGGATTCACAGACATGAAACCAGGAAGGGCCAACCCCCTTCAGAGTCTGGGGCGGCCAGGCCACGTGGGCATCAGGCATTTAGGTACAGCTGCAACCAGCAGCTCAAGGCCAGGCTGGCGTCCTCAGCGTTGTAGAGGCTAGGCAGTGAAGGGAGACCCCAGACTGAAGCAAGGAAGTCGGGCTTCTTAGCCCATCGTCCAGTCTGATCAACCCAGGGGGTATGAGTCGCGCCGCCATGCGATGCTGGCCCTTGCCAAAGGGCACTGGGGCCATGAGTTTTGGACTCGGGGTGCACAGACTGGGCAGGTCTCTGGGAGCCTCCAAACTCAGCATCAAAGAGGCAGACTCCGGCTCCTCGTACCCCTTCCAGGCTGGCTCCGGCGTTTCCTCAGGGCCCGAGTGGGCCCGGGGCTGCCCTCCCTGGCTCCTGCTGGAACTGCTCGTGGGCTCGGTCCAGGTCTGCAAGCACCTCCAGCAGGCGGGTGGCTGCTGCTCTCTGCTGGGCCAGGACGTCGGGACAGGCCCCTGGGAGGGGACAGGGCTGCCAGGGCTCAGTGTCCAGGCAGGCCACCCCCACCCCGGCCCGTGGCTTCCTCGGGCCGCAGATTTGCCTCTGCCCTGGGGATCCTAAAATCTTTCAGAGCCTCCCCAACCCCGCCAAGCCGCCCAGGGACTGGAAGACGGGCAGGAGGACCCAGGGTGGACTGGGCAAGCTGTGGGGGGGGTGTCCTCACCGTACCTCCGTGACCCCTTACCCTCTGTGGCGCAGAAGCCCTGCTCTGCATCTGCCTCTAGACTTGGATCTGTGGTGGAATCCTCCAGAAACTTCATCCTGGAAGGTGGGAAGGAGAAAGACAAGGCTGGTCCCCGACTCCCAGTCTTGCTCCCTGCCCAGGGGATTCTCTGCTGGTGGCGGGAGAAAGGACAGGTTCCCACAGTCATCACTGTCACCATCATCACAGCAGACATTTCTGGAGTGCCAGATGCTACCATGGGCTTCATTATACAGGTGATCACTGAGACACAGAGAGATCGAGGAACTTGCCTAAGGTCACACAGCATCATCAGCATCATCGTTACCATTTACTGAAAGCGAATTATGTGGCCAGGGACCTATAACAGAGCATTCCACCTCTGTTAGCTCATTTGATCCTCAGGACAAGCCCATGAGGTAGGAAGCATTATCATCTCCATTTTCCAGTTGAAGAAACTGAGGTACAGAGAAGTTGAGCAACTTGTTCAAGATCACACAGACAGTAAATGGCTAGATCAGATTTTCCTTTTTAAAATTCAGGGTCTCACTCAATTCCAGGCTGGAGTGCAGTGGCACCAACACCGCAGCCTCGGCCTCCTGGGCTCAGGCAATCCTCTTGCCTCAGCCTCCCGAGTAGCTGGGACAACAAGTGTGTGCCACCACACCTGGCTAATTTTTTGATTTTTTTTTTTTTTTTTTGCAGATACAAGGTCTCATTATGTTGCCTAGACTAAACCCAAACTCCTGGGCTCCAGTGATCCTCCTGCCTTGGCTTCCCAAAATGCTGGGATTACAGGCATGCACCCCCTGCCCAGCCTAGGTCAGGATTTGAAGGCTGGCCAGCTTCAGAACCCACTTGTCATGGGCTGAGACACATCTGTCACTGAATAGCAGTGACACACCACCAGGAGAGGAAGGGACACACCCACGGCCACAGGGCCAGGCCGGGATGTGCTGGGAATTGTGCTTGTGTCTCTGGAGCCCCTGGCATTAAACGACTCCAAGACCCAGTACTGTTGGAGGGCTGTCCCCACCCTGAGGATGCTCCCGAGCCCTCATCTCCAGACTCCCCCCTCGGGGAGGTGCAGTGGGGCTGACTCGGCCAGTCCTGAGGGCACCCACCGAACTGGTCCAGGAGGGGAGTCGGGGAGACCCACCTGAGCTGGTCCCAGGGGAAGTGGGGTCGGAGTACTACGTGAGCTGGTCGGGGGGGGCACCCACCTGAGCTGGTCCCGCCCCAGGAGTAGCTGCCGATACACCATCTGGACCTCAGCGTCGGGATCCAGCGGGTCACTCCAGTCCCCCAGCGTGACGGCCGAGTGTGTCCGGCTGCAGCCGGCAGCTGTGGCAGAAAGTCGTCTCAGCCTTCCCCGATGCCCTAGAGCTCTCCTCTCTCTCCCCCTCATCGGGGGTCTCACTCTGTCCCGCAGGCTGGAGGCCGTGGCACAATCACCGCTCACCGCAGCCTCAACCTCCTGGGCTCAGGCGATCCTCCTGCCTCAGCCTCCTGCGCAGCTGGGACTACAGGTGTGCACCACCACGCCCAGCTAGTTTTGTTATTTTTGCAGAGACGAGGTCTCGCGATGTTGCCCAGGCTGGCCTTGAACTCCTGGGCTCAGGCAGTCTTCTCTCCTCAGCCTCCCAGAGTGCGAGGATTACAGGCGTGAGCCACCAAGCCCGGCCAAACGTCCTCCTCCCTTGTTGAGCCTTCACTGCCACTCCGCCGGACGCCCTCGGTAGCCTCCTTCCGGGCCTCCCTGCCTCCACTCCTGTCCAGCCCCAGGGCTGCTCCCTAGGCTCTAGCGGTAGCCTCCCCTCTCCCGTCATTCTTCCACACTCCAGGCTCCAGCCACGCAGACCTTTCCCACCCGTTGTCCCCTCGGTCTCGCCTCCGGCCCTGGCGCAGTGCCGTGTGCTCCGCCTGCAACTCTCTTCCTCGCCCCCTTGTCTGTCTCCAACTTCACTGTGCGACTCCCACCCCACCCACCCAGGGGACATTAAGCAGCACCTCCTCCAGGAAGCCCTCT